AAGATGGCAAGGTTCGTCATCCCGCTCATCGCTCGATTGTTTGGCTCGGTCAACAGCTCAAGGCCTACATTCATTCCCTCAGAACTGGCGCCGCGATGGCGGGCACTTTGAAGGCCTTGTTGTTGCAGCCTCCTCAGTTCATCGAAGAAGCTAAGGATGAGTACGCACCGATGTTCAGTTTGGTGAAGGAGGCGGTGACGCGCACGGCTGATCCCTACTCCTCTGCGGACGTTTACACGCAGGTGCACGAGGCCGCCCAGGCCGCCGACTCGAAGTTCCGTGCCAAGGCCCGCTCTGAATGGAAGGCGTGGCTCAATGTCGGAGTGCAAGCGGGAGCGAAAAGAGTGCACACCCTTCTTAGGGACCCCGCCCCGTGGGCTGCCAGTTCGACCCTTTCGGCGGATGGTAACGTGGTTTCGGACCCCCTGTCGTTGCTGAGAGCTGAAGGGGACCGCTTTGCTTCCCTCTGGGGCCCTGGGGTCGGTGCGGACTCGGCCTTCGAGAGGCTGGATGACCTCCCCAGGTTGGGTGCGCAGCAAATCAGGGACGTCTCCAAGTCCTATAGGACTGCTTCGGCCACCTCGGTACATGGGTTCCATTGCAGACACTTCTCGCTCCTTTCCGATCCCTGCCTTGACTGCCTTGGATCTCTTTTCAGCCTCATGGAGGCTTTAGGCGTCTTGCCCCCTCAGATCTCTGTTGCTGTCTTAGCGCTGTTGCCGAAGCCGGCTGGCGGCTACAGGCCCATCGGGGTGTTCTGCTCCTGGGACAGGGTGTGGGGGCGCTGCAGACGTCCCTTGGCCCTGGCCTGGGAACTGGCCCACCCCCGAGAGTACTGGGCTGCTGGCCAGCATCGAGGAGCAGCCGACGTGGTGTGGCGTCAGGCCGTCTCCGCCGAGGCGGGAGTTGCGAAGGGCCTCGCCAGTTGCAGTATATTTTTTTGATCTCTCTAAATTCTATGAGAACATTAACCTCTTGCGTTTAGAGGACCGTTGTCGCAGGTTGGGTTTTCCCATGGTGATTGCCCGCCTTTGCATCTTTGCCTACAAGGTTGGCCGCTTTCTGAGCCTGGGAGGTTGGCTCGAGGGCCCCCACTTTTGTGTCAATGGGGTCATCGCTGGCTGCTCGATGGCCACCACCCTTATCCGAGTTTATTGCATGGAAGGATATGATAGCATTCCCCTGTCCCCTGCCGCTTCGCTGGACGTTGACATTGACGATCAAGGGCTGTCGTCGACTGGCCCCCCGAAGGTCGTCATCGATTCGATCGCTCGTGTGGCCATGGCGCTCGACTCTGTCGTCCAGGAGGTTTTTCGGGTGTTCCTTCGCTCTGGAGAAAACGGCTATTGTGTCCAGCTCCAAATGTGTGGGTTCACAAGTCCTCTCTCGTATCAGCCATCTTTGCCAGCGTTGTACAGGCTCAGCCGTCAACCTCGGAGTTGACTACTCGGCAGGCCGTGCTGTTAGAGTTGCTGGTCGATCGGCCAAGATGAAGGCCAGGCTCGCTAAGGCGGGCAGAGCTGCGCGGCGCCTAGTGCGGCAGGCTAAGGTACTTACTCGGTCTACGTCCTTGAAGGCATTCTCTGCTGGCCCCCTGGTGGGAACCTCATACGGTACCGAAGTCACGGGCATAAGCGATCATGACCTTAGCATGCTGCGCCGTCGCCTGTTTAGTGTTGTGCGCCCGCACAGTCGGCTGAGGTCCCTCACGGTCCTCGCCCTGCTGGACAATGACCCGACATGGCGATCGGCCACCGCTCCCATTATCAGATGGAGTAAGGAGATCTGGCTCAGACAGACAGGAGCTTTCAGCTGGGCTATCCCTCTGCCCTCTTTGAAGTCTGCCTGGGCCGCCATCTTTTCTGACCCCAGCTGTAGCTGGAGGAAGGCTGCGGGACCAATCACTGCCATGAGGATGTCTCTGGTTAGATTAGGGTGGAGTATGCCTAACTTCATGACCCTGGCCGACGATTTCGGGAAATCTATCCCCCTTGGGATCTTCTCGCCCGCTCTTGTCGGGCCCCTGGTCCGTGTTGGTTTTCTGAGAGTTCTGGAAAGAGATGCTGCTGCCAGGAGGGGCATCTCTTACCGTTTATGTTATGATGTTGTCAAGGAGGCTATCGCGCCCCGCAGTAAGCGTTTCACGGCCCTTCAGAAGGCTAGGATCAGAGCCTTCGCTACGGAGGCCATCTTGACTCGGGCTCGAGCCAGGGCCCTTGGGTACGACATTGATCCGTGTTGTGTCCACTGCGGGGCCAACGATACCATCTTCCATCGGCTTTGGGAATGCCCTCTCCCCGAGGCTGCTTCAGCTCGGCTTGAGGCTACTGCCAGCGAGGTGATCGAGGCCGCTCTGTCAGCTAAGGCGTCTGGAGATGATGATGATGAGCTGTTGGTCTTTATTTCTAGAGCCTTTCGGCACCCCGCCGACTCCTTCCCTCGGACTGCTGATGAGCAAGATGATGGTCCGACCCTGGTCTGGCACAAGATGCCCGAATTTGACCCTGGTGGGGCCCCCGTCAGCAACAGAGTGTGGGGCTCCTTATTTGTTGATGGCTCGTGTACCCGTCACGCTGTCAAGGAGCTCTCTCGTGCTGGCTCCTCAGTCTGCATGGTCGACGAGTCGGGAGATCTTGTGGCTGAGCTTAGGGCCCCTGTTTGGGGCCCCTACCCACAGACCCCTCAGAGCGCCGAATTCAGTGCGTTCACGTGGGCCAATGTGCTGGCGACCCATCCTGCTGAATGCCATGTGTATTCTGATTGCAGCAATGTGGTCCAGACTGCGGGTCTTGCTAAGCAGATTCAGCTCTCGCCTAAGCGCATGTATGCTGGGGCTGTTCTTCAGGTGCATGGACAGGTCTCGGGGATAGCTGCCTGCTCCAAGGTGGCTGCCCACCTGGACGTGGATGCTCCAGGGATTTCTGCCGAGGAGCGTTGGCGCCGCCTCGGCAACTACCATGCGGATGTTGGGGCTAAGTTTGCTGCCCGCCTCCATCCCACGGATGGCACTCTTCTGCAGGAGGCCGACCACCTTGTGGCCCTAGCGAGGGCCACCTTGAAGGTTGCTGTGGCTGTGCTCCCTTTATGGCCTCCTGTGGACCTCGACGGGGCCAACATACTCCCCGCGGTTCAAAACCCGAGGAAGGAGGTGCTTGGGCACGACTGGAGGTCGTGGGGCGGAATCTGGAGGTGCGCTCACTGTTTGAGGGGGAACCTTTCCTTTTCGAAGCCAGCTCCAGGTTCCTGCTCTAGGTCCTCTCTTGTCCACGCTGACTCCCAGGACGCGCTAGGCCATCGGGCGGTGGCTTTTCCGTGTTCTGATAACTCTGTTCTCTTTATTTGTCTTAGATGTAAATGCATCACGTGTGGTGGGCACATTCGTGGACTCAGCAAACAGTGTGTTTCGGTCCCTTCGCGTGCGTGCAAGCAGGGTTGGGATTATCTGTGCAAAGGCCTCCACCCTAGGTATCAGTTGCGTATTTCTGGCGTCACGGTGGACACGGAAGGCCTGATCCAGCGTTTCAACTCCGAGGCCGCTCTTGCCGCCCTTGCTGAAGGTACTTCCGAGGTACCTGCGCATGAGGTGCGGCAAGAACCCCAACCGTCGCGACAACACACCCCTTCTTTCCTGGCGAGACGCCGCCAGGATGAGTCGGATAGTTCTGATTGATTTGCTGTTGCACAGGGCGGCCTATCTTATTTTTTTTTGCACGGCCCGATGCGACTGACCCTTTTGGCAGGCATCCGTGCGTAACCCCACATCTGGGGCGAGACGGAGGTCGTCCTGGCGCTCTCTGCACCAGGGGTTTCGGTCCTCGTCGTCCTTGTGTGGGTGGTCGAGTTTTCCCAGTGGCGAGGGTTCGCCGTCTAGTGTTTTCCTGCACGGCCCGATGCGACTGACCCTTTTGGCAGGCATCCGTGCTTTACCCCACATCTGGGGCGTGACCGCATGTCGTTCTGGCGCTGGCTGCACCAGGGGCTGCGGGCTCGCCGTCCTTGTGTGGGTGGTCGAATCTTCTCCTTTGCTTGCTTTTGTGTATTCGTTGTGCGTGCGTCCTCCGTGCACGCGTGTCAGGCACCCCAATTTTGGGGGAAGGTGCATGCACACCTCGGGTGCGCTCTGTGGGCTCCGAGCACGGGGATTCTTCATCCCGTCTGTGGCTCGCACGATGTTGCTGCGGCCTGGGACTTTGGTTCCAGGCCCCAACATCCTTTTGACAGGCGTTGGGCGCGCGTCTTCGTGTGTGCGTTCGTTGCATGCCCCTCCGTCTTGCCCCCCCCACCGCCTTTTGCCTCTGGTGTGTGGGTGGAGCTCTGTCTTGCTCGCTGTCCCTCTTGTTCAGCCGAGGGCAGTCGGCGGGAGGGAGCTTCCCAGCTGCAACTCTCTGCAGCTGGATGTTTTTTTGCGCTGTCAGCTCTTTGCCCTCTGGCACAGCGCGCCTGCCCCATCTCGTAGAGATGTTGTGGCAGGTGTGCGAAGAGCTTGGGCACTTGGACGCAGAGGTTCCTCTCGTCGTGTCATTTTCTTGCGCGGTGACCCTGGTGTTTATCTTGGTCAAGGTGCCAGCATCCCCCTCCGCTGCTGGCTCGTTTCTTTGGTCAGTCCAAGGTTTTGGAGGCGAGGCGTTGATGTCAAAAAAAAGGGAGGCCTCTTGGAGGCCTCTTGGGACGCGTCTTGAAGGCCTCTTAGGCCATCTTGAGGTCATCTTGGGCGTCGTGGACCGATATTTGGGTGTCTTGGGGTCCTCTTGGACCGTCTTGGGGGCCGCTGGGGGCCCTCTCGGGCCCGTCTTGGGGCCCTCGTGGGCCCGAAACAATCAATGCGGAGCCACTTCCCGGAGCCCAGGGGGCACGCGGGCAGCTCCAGGGGGCACACCGGGAGCCCCGCCAGATCTAGGAATTTGGGGCCTGGGCCTTGGAAACATGTGTTTCAGGAGTGAGGACTGGGGCTTCGAGGATTGGGCAAGGGACTTGAGGACACGCACGCGCCGTGCAAAGAGGCACGGTGTCGGATGAACGGGGGCCGCCTGGTCTTCGAGATGACCGTGGAGGCCGCGGGCGGGATCACGTTCCGGGCGTGGAACGACGACAACGCCCCGAACTGCGAGATGAGGACCAGCGCGAGCAAGGTGGAGTGGATGAAGGTATTCTTCAACCACCAGGTTGTCTTCGAGGCGCAGGACAAGCCAATACCATGATGGGCTCCCTTCGCTGCCGATCTTACATCGGCTGCGCTTCTTGTTAGGTGCGCCTGGTGCGTATGAGTTGGCTCATCCAGCAGCGCGGATCCGTGCACCGCACGCGGCAAGAGCCACGAGAGGAGCGAGTGGGGCAAGCACCAATCCTGAAAGTGGGTGTGCGAAGCGGTCGCGCGTGGCAGCCCAGCCCACGGTTTTCAGTCGAGCATCGCTTGGCACCAGCCGGCTCAACACAGGTGTTTTCTCGAGGGAGGTCGGGGTTGTCGGAAGCATCCGGCGATCCACGGCAGTTCTCCGACCTTCGACAGTCGCATAATTAGCAGGAGCGCAGCCCTCGCGTCTTCGGTCGACGGCCACCACCCAGTGCGCCATGTGCAAGTGAGCTGGCTCATCCGGCAGCGCGGGAAAGTGCTCCCCAGGCGGCAGGACCCCGGATCAGAAGAAGGAAACGAAATCATCTTGCCAAGCATCCGCTGCGGTTCATTCAAATGCGCTGCGCCACGCATCCACATGCCACGTGTGAGTTGTTAATTATCGGTCCCCTGGGAAGCAGCTCTTCTGTTTCATGACTCAGGGCTCATCACCATGTACATACATTGCCTCGCTTGTTTTCTTTATCCACGTGTGTCCTGGCTGCTGCTGAGTTCTTTCCACTACTTCTTCCGTGCTCATGCCAAATTCACCTGGCTGGTGCGCGCGAGCATTGCGCTCTGTGCTAGCGTTTCCCTGGCTACCCGCTCCTCCTCCTCTTCCTTCTGTGGCCCTCATCGTTCCGTGGCAGTACTCATCAGGATACCAGCTTGTTTTTGGACTTGCACATCGCCGCACAAGGGCCCGTGCTTCCGCGTAGAAAGGCACTCACCCATGCAATGCTCACGCACGCGTTCATTCATTCGCTTGGGCGTTCGTGCATTCGGTCACGCGCTCGCCGTCTCATTCGCCTGCTCCTTCGCTCACTCACCAGCCAGCCTCCACCCGCTGGGAAATGCGGCATCTGTGCTCCTGATTGCCTCGTCCTTTTGCAAATGTGCCCACGTGTCTGGTTCGAGGCAGTGGACGACAGCGCCGTCATGCCGCTGGTGATCGTCATCATCGCCCAGCGGCGTCCATACCACGAGCTCGGCACAGTGCAGGGGAGGCACCTCGGGCACATTCTCGCTGGGAGTGTGGTGCGTTCAGGCGGTGCCAAGGACAGGAGTCTTGACCCTCCAGGCACAAGGGGCAGCAGCACACGACATGAGGCATGATGGCAGCATGAGGAGGGGGTCTCGCGAGGAGACGGTGTCACGATACTTCTCGTTGATCTCGGTCTCTCCTCCCTCGCCCCCCGGGACCGCCAGGAAACGACTCGGGATGCAAAGCCCGTCTCCAGATTGGATGGGGGAGGCCCCAGGTGTCCAGGTCCTTGTGTCGCTCTGGACCCCTCTGCCAAGCCAAGGCAAGCACAGTGGTCTCGTCTCATTCCCTCCCTCCCTGCTGAGCTGAGCATTGTTCGTTCTTTGCGCGTCGCGACTTCCGCCGCCCTCTCGTGTCGTTGCTGTGGGCTGCCTGGGAGCTCAAGGCCTGGCCTTCGTTTGTTGCGAAGGGCGGCGGAACACTGAACAAGAATTCCCCCCAACCCCACGCACGGGGTGTGCGTCTCCTGCTGAGGCACAGCGACCGCGCCAATGCCATGTGTCCGACCGACCGACCTTCCTCTCCTCCCCCTCCGCCTCCTCCTCCTCCCCCTCCTCCCCCTCCTCCTCCTCCTCCTCCTCCTCCTCCTCCTCCTCCTCCTGCTCCTCCTCCTCCTCCTCCTCCTCCTCCTCCCTCCCCCTCCCCTCCTCTCCTCCCCCTCCTCCCCCTCCCTCCTCCTCCTCCTCCTCCCTCCTCCTCCTCCCTCCTCCTCCTCCTCCTCCCCCTCCTCCTCCTCCTCCTCCTCCTCCTCCTCCTCCTCCTCCTCCTCCTCTCCTCCTCCTCCTCCTCCTCCTCCTCCTCATCCTCCTCCTCCTCCCTCCTCCTCCCTCCTCCTCCTCCTCCTCCTCCTCCTCCTCCTCTCCTCCTCCCCCTCCTCCTCCCTCCTCCTCCTCTCCTCTCCTCCTCCTCCTCCTCCTCCTCCCTCCTCCTCCCCCTCCTCCCTCTCTCCTCCTCCTCCTCCTCCTCCTCCCTCCCCTCCTCCTCCTCCTCCTCCTCCTCCTCCTCCTCCTCTCCTCCTCCTCCCTCCTCCTCCTCCTCCCCTCCTCCCTCCTCCCCCCCTCCTCCCCCTCCTCCTCCTCCTCCTCCTCCTCCCTCCTCCTCCTCCTCCTCCTCCTCCTCCTCCTCTCCTCCTCCTCCTCCTCCTCCTCCTCCTCTCCTCCTCCTCCTCCTCCCTCCTCCTCCTCCTCCCTCCTCCTCCTCCTCCCTCCTCCTTCCTCTCCTCCTCCTCCTCCTCCTCCTCCTCCTCCTCCTTCCTCCTCCTCCTCCTCCTCCTCCTCCTCCTCCTCCTCCTCCTCCTCCTCCTCCTCCTCCCCCTCCTCCTCCTCCTCCTCCTCCCAGCCCTGCACCTCGAGGACAGGGGTACAGTCACACTGCACCCCCTCGCCCCACCAGCACAGAACAACCTCGAGGACCGGGGAGGGGAGGCCCGAGGCTCTGGCTCGCCCGGGGATTCGTGTTCGGCCTCCTGCTCGGGATCGCCCGGGCGGCGGCCCTGCCCGCGGATGCCCCTGGGGATCTCGGGAGGCCCCCAGACTCAGGAGGGAAAGAAACACACAGATACAAGTAATCGTCGACCCCCTCAGAAAATATGGGAAAATATGGGAAGTGGGGGGGAAGACGAACACCCAGAATATATGTGAAGATACGGGGAATCCTTTCATTTGTGTGTATTTGTGTGTGTGTGTGTGTGTGTGTGTCCTGGTGCCCCTTCACGGGCCCGCGCACGGCTCCCGCCTCCTCTTCGCGCACCCGCCTGCTTTCCTCGTCTGGCTGCGCCGCCTCCTCCTTGTCAGACGGCATGTTCTCCTCTTCTTTCCCCGATCCTGCTCCATCCCCCTTCCTCTGTCGCCGGCGCTCCTCCTCCTCCTCCTCCTCCTCCTCTTCATTATTCCTCCTCCTTCCTCCTCCTCCTCCTCCTCCTCCTCCTCCTCCCTCCTCCTCCTCCTCCTCCTCCTCCTCCCCCTCCTCCTCCTCCTCCTCCTCCTCCTCCTCCTCCTCCTCCTCCTCCTCCTCTTCATTGTTCCTCCTCCTGCTCCCTGCTCCTTGCGTCTTCTGCGAGCGGGGCCCTGGGTGGGCCCCAGCTGCCACCCCGGTTCCTCGCCCCACCTCGCCCATGATGCCGCGAGCAGCCCAAAAGTCGGACGAGGATGCTTGGACCTCAGCCAGCCATCGAAATGGATCCTCTCACCAGGCGCAGGATGAGTAGAAGAGGGAAACCCGAGAAGGAGCGGGAGAAGGGATGTTGGAGGAGACAGGAGGACGAAGGGAGGGAGAGGGAGGAAGGATGGAGGAAACATGGGCGGAAAAAGGGTTGAGGGAAGAGGGAGAAAGGATGGGGCAGGGAGGGATGGGGGAAGGGAGAACGCGAGGATGAAGTGGGGGAGAAGGGAGCAGGGAATGAGGCCGGAGGTGGGTGGACGGATGGGGGGTGGTTACGTACCTGGATGGTGGAGTTCTGCCGTTTCGGATGGTGGCTCCGCGGGCACATGCTCTTCGCGGGCCCTTGCCGTGGAAGTCGCGCAGAAGCGTCGGTGCAGCGAGGGCTCGAGGATACGGCGGCGCCTCGCGCATCGCTTGGCGCGAAGCGCGACAGCCGACTGGCGCGGATCGTGCCGTGCGCCTCGTGCCCTTCACCCCTGGAGGCCTGTCGTCGAGGCGCACGGGCAGGTGTCCTTTGTGAAGTTCCGGCGCGGGGAGGACGGCGAAGGGGGGGGCTCGGCCGTCAGTGTCTCCTTCCTCCACCCTTCCCTTGCCTCCCTCCCTCCCTCCTCTCTCTCGCTCTTTCTCTCTCTCTCTCTCTCTCTCTTTCTCTCGCTCCCTCCAGCACACCCCTCCTTTGCCACCCTCCCTCGGCTTCCCTCCCTCCCAGAGGCGGGGACCGTCGGGGGCGAGCCCCCCGGCACTCGGGAACGGCCTCCAAAGCGGGGTCTCCTCCACGGGAGCCTGGCCTCACCCGCCGGCGTTCATGGCTCAGCGGCTCGTTTCCACCCTTTCTCAGGAGGTAGGAAAGGGGTGTGGTATCGAGGGGAATGGTGCTAACTCCATGCAGAGGGGAACCTGGCGCTGTTACGCATCGCAGATCGCATCGCCATTTCCACGATGGGCACCACACCCCCTTTATGCTACACCCCGCTCCGACCTCCAGCAACTTTCGTGTCGTCGCAGGAGGAGGAGGAGGAGGAGGAGGAGGAGGAGGAGGAGGAGGAGGAGGAGGAGGGGGAGGAGGGGGACGAGGAGGAGGAGGAGGAGGAGGAGGAGGAGGAGGAGGAGGAGGAGGAGGAGGAGGAGTCGGTCGTCGGTCGTCCGTCGCCCCTCGGTGTCGCTCGGGCGCTTCGCCCTCCGACGCGTGCGCGCGGGGTACCGAGCTCCTGGGCGCCCACAGACGCGCCCAGGGCTTCACGGCGCCAACGTCAAGCGCGTTCCTCAAGCAGCGGCGGAGCGTCCTGGCTCGCCTTATAGCCCTACCAAACAATGTTCTAAGAGCCTTTCGTGGTTTCCAGGAGATGTTCTTAGAACATTTCTGGCGGAGTCTGTCTTGTTTTATCACATCGGGTTCATGTTCTAAGAACCTCGTTGTTGTTCCTGGAATTTTTTGGGGTTCTAGGAACATTTCGTGGTAGGACTATAGGAATGCCGGGACGGTCGGTCCCTGCTCAAGCCCAGGGCTTCACGGCGCCAACGTCAAGCGCGTTCCAGGGCTATGACACCCCCAGCCAGTAAACCGGCGACGGGGCGCGGGATGCTCGAGGTATGATCAAAGGGTGAGATCAGAGCAAAGCGCAAGTGCGAGCGTGAGCAAGAGGGAGCATGGAAGTATGACAACAGTGTGGATTACGTATGCCTTTAAGTGCTAAGTTTTCTCCATTTGCTTTCAAGCATGCTTCGAGTGTTCCTGCAAACTTCTAAATCGGGGCAAACTTGTTCTTAAAGCTTGTTCCCAAGCTTCTCAGTACACCAAGGGGCGTATGGTTACAAGCGTGGTCAAACTTCAACCACCTCTTTCCAAACATCCAATTCCAGGCACATGTTCGTCATCCTTGCTTCGAACTTTTCAAATTTCAGCGCTGGGCTAACTTTTCATGCGTTCATACTGTTTAAGCTTCCAAACGCGGCCCATGTTTCAATCGCTTCAATCAATATGTTTTTTCCTACTTTCCCTAATCTCAAACGCCGGGCAACTTTTTCAATTTGTTGGCGTTCTATGTGTTGTTTCTAACTGGTTTCCGATTTTGTTCAAACGTCCAAATCCGCGCAAGATGTACCATACTGTCCAAATTTGTCCAGCTGCCAAGCTTCCAGTTCGGGGCCAGCTTTTTCCAAACTTCCAAACCAGGGCACAATCGCATTCATAGTTCGCCCGCTTTATCATTTTCATACTTACATCAAATTTAGAATGAAGCCGCGAGTTCAAGAGTTTGCCTGCTCCGGGGCCTTTGAATTCTAAGGGCCCACGCATCAAACAAATCAACTCGTTGCATGTACAGGTTCCCTGCCCTCCTTCCCTCCCCTCCCTTCCCTTCCCTCCCCCCCTCCCGTGACCTGGCCTGAGACTGCCCCCTTTCCCCCTCACCCCCATGTCTGGGCGTCGTGCGGGTGTGGATGAGGCCCTCTGTGTGTGATCGCGGTCGGGGTGTCCTGCTTCCCCCGCGGCCCGCCCGCAGCGGCGTCATGCTCCGCGCGGCCGGGAGTGTGCCCGCAGCCGGGCCTCGCAGGAGGAGGAGGAGGAGGAGGAGGAGGAGGAGGAGGAGGAGGAGGAGGAGGAGGAGGCGAGGAGGGAGGGAGGAGAAGAGAAGGAGGATCACGCGATGGCACGCCGGTGACCACGACGATGCCGGCAGCGCAGCGGCAGCACCGTCTCCCTCTCTCCCGTGGCGCAGGACGGCAGGGCCCCGGCGTCCCCGGAGATTGTGCGGCAGCTGTGCTTCGGCGAGCGCTCGCCCGCCTACGAGATACACGGCATCTATGGCTTCGAGGACGTCGGCCAGGGGGAGCAGGAGGGGGAGCAGGAGGGGGAGGGGGGAGCAGGAGGGGGAGCGATGAGAGGGGGGGGTGGGGGGGGAGCAGGCGGGGGAGGGCGGGGAGGCGGAAGGGGAGGAGGGAGGAGAGGGGCCTGGGAGTGCTCGGGGACGCCTGGTTCCTCTCAGTGGGCCCAGCTCCCCCTTGCCACCAGCAAGGTGGTCGCGAGCGCCCATCGAGGAGAAGGAGGAGGAGGGGGCGAAGGAGGAGGAGGAGGAGGGAGAGGAACGAGGAGGAGGAGGAGGAGGAAGAGGAGGAGGAGGAGGAGGAGCAGGAGGGAGAGGGAGGAGGAGGGAGAGTGAGGCTGAGGAGGATGTGGAAATACGGAGTTACGGATATTGCGAATGTGCCGGTGACTCAACGTTTATTATTTAGCCGTAGGTCTGGCATTGTCAGATTTACCGTAAGTTTTTGGCCAGAGTCCCCGATCAATATTCTTGAGGTAACCCTTACGAGTGCTTTCGGTTCTGCCAGGTCGCGCCTTCCCGAGCTTGGCCAACTGTTGGGCCGCCAAGCCACCACAAGTGCCGCAGAGACAAGTCCCCAGCCCAGCGTGAAACTGTACATTATGGGTCGCATCAGCCCACCCCCCACAGATGTGCACCCTGCCATGGGGGGGTGCCGAAGAACCATAAACTTCCCTTAGGTCACAGCACGGGGTGACCAACCAAACTCTATGAGATTATTTAGACACCGGGCCCAACAGGGCAGACGATCTTCTGAAAACGCATGCTGACGTTTGAAAGCTCGGCAAACCGAGGGCGCAGGAGGCCCAGGACCAGGGTGCCTGACAAGGGCTCCAAGGGGCTTCTCAGAGGACACAACTTGCTCAGCCGTCGAGGTGTAAGTCTCACAGGTGCTCAAGAGGATGCGCATGCGGACGGCGCAAGCCATCGTCTCATTCAAGAGACGTCTGGAATAATCCTCCGCTGGAATCCTTACCGCTCTTGCTGCTTCCTTGGCAAGCCTGTCGGCGGCAGGATCTCCGCTGGCCAGACATAGAGGTGATGTCCCTTGGAGGGTATCCTGCGCCTCATGATGGTAGCGCACTGGAAGCACCGTGCACGCTAAGCTCGGTTTGCTGCTGAGATCTTGGCCGACCTGACGCCACAAGTCAGCTCTCGCGCGCCGTTAGGGGCGAACGCTCGGCCACCATGCCCGCCTGTGCAAACACTAGCGTTGTCCGTAGTCTGCACCCAAACTCGGTCCGTCCCGACCAGGGGCCTGGTGGAAACTACCAGATGTCCCTCTGACAACTGTGAAGGAGGAGGAGGAGGAGGAGGGAGGAGGAGGAGGAGGAGGAGGTGGGAGAGGAGGGGGAGAGGACAAGCTAGGTGCGCTCGGGTCATATCTGATGTCATACCCCTCGCTCCCATCCCTTACCATGACGTAGGTCTCCTCTCTATTCGCACAGTCGGAGGTCGTAGCAGGGCATAGCATTACATGGCATAGCATGATGTTGAAGATCAACGCGTAGCCTGACACAGCATGGCGTGGCGAAGCCCCAAAGTGGTGTGGGGGGGGGGCTTCTGCGACCCCAGAAATCAATGAGTCGGTATTGAATGCGGAATCACTTCCGATGGTTGTTTCGGGGGGACATGTTCTAGATTTTGGTGCCTTTTTGGAAGGACCGACAACCATGCCGTGGCACGGCGCTGGAAACAATGACGCCAGCGCTGAAATGAGGCCAACGCTGCAGC